AGGACCAGCTAGCATCGAGGGTGACCAAGACTCTTTAGGAACAGTTTACGAGGGACAGCTAGCATCGAGAGTGACCAAGACTCTTTAGGAACGTTTACGAGGACCAGCTAGCATCGAGGGTGACCAAGACTCTTTAGGAACAGTTTACGAGGACCAGCTAGCATCGAGGGTGACCAAGACTCTTTGGGAACAGTTCACGAGGACCAGCTAGCATCGAGGTGACCAAAGACTCTTTAGGAACAGTTCACGAGGACCAGCTAGCATCGGGGTGACCAAGACTCTTTAGGAACGTTCTGAGGACCAGCTAGCATCGAGGTGACCAAGGCTCTTTAGGAACAGTTTACGAGGACCAGCTATCATCGAGGGTGACCAAGACTCTTTAGGAACAGATAGATAAATAAACAGATAGATGAATAAGTAGGTACTGTGTGTAGAGAGAGAGAGAGGCCCTCAACCTACCTATTTTAGCTCACCTGGTGCCCTGGGGGGGTGAAACCACCTGTACCCGCATGTTTGAGGAGAAGCACATGTCTCTCCCTCCCTGTCTCTCATTCTCTCTCTCTCTCTCTCCTCACTCCTCTCTCTCCTCTCCTCTCCCTCTCTCTCTCTCTCTCTCTGCGTTTGCTTCTGTAGTCTGTCTTAAAGTATTAGGATCAGGTCAGAGGTCACTGTGAGAGAGAGAGAGAAAAGAGAGAGAGGTTTCAACACCTGTACCCGCATGTTTCTTGAGGGAGGGAGGGAGGGAGGGAGGGAGGTTTACCTCACCTGCCCGAGTCATCATCACAAGTCGCTCTTCAACAGGGGCATCACCTGTCCCGTGTGTGTGTGTGTGTGTGTGTGTGTGTGTGTGTGTGTGTACCCTTATTCACCCCTTAACTTACCCCTACAATACCTCCCTCTTATAACACCCCCTACAATACCTCCCCTTATAACACCCCCTTACAATACCTCCCCCCTTATAACACCCCTTACAATACCTCCCCACATACAATACCTCTTCCTTATAACATCCCTACAACACCTCCCCTATAACCTACAAACCTATAACACCCCTTACAATACCCTCCCCCCTCATAATACCTCCCATACTTATCACTTTTAATACTCCTACATACCTCCCTTAAAACACCCTTACAATACCTCCCCTTATAACACCCCTTACAAACCTCCCTTATAACACCCCTTTACAATACCTCCCCCTTATAACACCCCATACAATACCTCCCCTTATAACACCCCTTACAATACCTCCACATATAACACCCCTTACAATACCTCCATATAAACACCCCTACAATACCTCCCCCCCTACAACCTTATAATACCCCTTACAATACCTCCCCCTTATAACACCCCTTACAATACCTCCCCTTACAATACCTCCCCCATAACACCCCTTACAATACCTCCCCTTATAACACCTTAATCCTCCCCTTAAACACCCTCAACCCTCCTTACCTTTATACAATACCTCATATAACACCCTTACAATACCTCCCTTAACACCCCTTACAATGCCTCCCCTTATAACACCCCTTACAATACCTCCCTTATAACTTATCACAATACCTCCCCTTATAACACCCCTTACAATACCTCCCCCTTATAACACCCTTACAATACCTCCCTTATAACACCCCATACAATACCTCCCTTATAACACCCCCTTACAATACCTCCCCTTATAACACCCCTTACAATACCTCCCTTACTGCCTTACAATACCTCCCTTATAACACCCCTTACACTACCTCCCCTTAAAACACCCCTTACAATACCTCCCCCATACACTTCCCCCTTACAATACCTCCCCTTATAACACCCCCTTACAATACCTCCCCTTAAACACCCCTTACAATACCTCCCCTTATAACACCCCCTTAACACACCCTTCCCTCACACACAGCCTTGCAACAGCACAACAAAGGGTGGACAATATTAATGAATCGTGCAACATGAGGAGGAGTACTCTCTCTCTCTCTCTCTCTCTCTCTCTCTCTCTCTCTCTCTCTCTCTCTCTCTCCAATACAGTCAATAAACACAACCCCCCTACCCCTCTATGGTCCTCAGGGTCCAGTAGTGGTCCAGTGGTGATTTATGGGACCCTACACCAACAGGAGGTCGTAGGAGAACAGCAGGAGACCACAGGGAGAACTATTGGAGACATTGAAGGTGATTTAAGATATGTTTTAAGGTCGACTCTCAGGGGGTGTTACCAGGTCAGTGTGTGTGTGTGTGTGTGTGTGTGTGTGTGTGTGTGTGTGTGTGTGTGTGTGTGTGTGTGTGTGTGTAAAAGTGTCATAATAATTTAGTAACTTCCACACACATACATACATACATACATACATACATACATATCTACACAACACACACCTGGAAAAGCACACAAGGTGTGGACTAAGGAGAAGAATTTAATTACAGACGGCAGAGAGAGATTAAAATACACAGGTGAAGGAAATTTGTTGTGTGGGGAGGAGGGAGGGAGGGTGGAGGGGTGAAGGAAGATGCGGTACAGGTGTGTCTCCACCCCTCCCCCTCCCTCCCCCTCCCTCCCTCACCTACATACATACAAGCCTTGTGTACGTTTCCAGTAACTAGTTAACTTACATGGTTGTAAGTATATACACACACATGTACGTATTAGATATCTACATACGTACATGGAAATATATGGACACAGACAGACAGACAGACACACACACACACACACACACACACACACACACACACACACACACCATTAAAACACCATTATCGACCATTAGATAATTAGCTTTACATCATAGCTTCTTAACCTAACCTCTCTCTCTCCCTTGGCCTTGACCATTTAATTGCGTTACTTGGGTCAGAGAGAGAGAGAGAGAGAGATCATGACTAAGCATATTTCTTTCAGTATTATAACCAATATTATTTTTCCATAAGTCAAGTATTTGCTGAAGGTTTGTGTATGTACTGTGTGTGTGTGTGTGTGTTTATGTGTGTGTGTGTGTGTGTGTGTGTGTGTGTGTGTGTGTATCCTTTATACAAACGCACACACACTCACACATACATACACACACACACACACACACACACACATAAAACAGCTTCCACCAAAACAGAGACCCAAACACAATAGTCGCCTCAACATAGCCTATAGTCTTGTAGCAGATAGCATTAATGTCATAACTAAGTAGCCCATAAATCAGCAAGGGGCTATTGATCTCTAACAAAGGGTTACGGATAGTCTGGGGAGATTAGGGTAGTCTAAAAGAGGTTGGAATAGTCTATGAGTAGTCTAAGGGGGTTGGGATAGTCTTTGATTAGTCTAGGAGGGGTTGGAATAGTCTATGGGTAGTCTAAGAGGGGTTGGGATAGTCTTTGATTAGTCTAGGAGGGGTTGGAATAGTCTATGAGTAGTCTAAAGGGGTTGGGATAGTCTTTGATTAGTCTAGGAGGGGTTGGAATAGTCTATGGGTAGTCTAGAATAGTCTGAGTATAGTAGAGAGGAATGTGTAGCAGTCTCTAGTAGTCTGAAGTAGTCTAATGATACATCCGACTGCCAGACTATTGTGTTCTACAGGAAAGGGTTTTAGACTATCCCAGAATAGTCTTTACGTCGTCCAAGGTAGCCCCTAGTAGCCCCAGACTATCTAGAAGCAGTCTTACATAATCTAAGGTAATCTGTGTAGCCCCCAGAGTATTATAATAGAATAGTCCTACATAGTCTACGAATAGTCTAAATAGTACCAGATAGTCTCTAAGTAGCTCCTAAACTATCATATATTATTTAACTTACACACTTAAAATAAACAAAGACTACCCTAGACTATCCAAATGTAGTCTTTACATAGTCCCAGGGTAGCCTCAAAATAGCCCCCTCCCTCCCTCCAGCTCTCAGACAGGTCGACGATAATGTAACCCTGAAGTCAACAGATCCAACAGGCTACAGGTCACTAAAACAGGGTTGGGTCCTAGTTCAACACACAGACCTCACCCCTCCCCTACCCCTCACACACCCCCTTAAATCTCAGCAAAGGGGAGGGGTAAGGGGGAGAAGGGAGAAGACTTGCACCCCCTCAGGCCTGGCGCGTGCTGCTACCTACCTGGAACCTCCTTGAATAAACATACAGACGAAGGTAGGTGGTGAGGGAGGGAAGGAGGGGGAGGGAGGGAGGGGGGAGGGAGGGAGGGAGGAAGGAGGGAGGTGAGGAGGGAGGAGGAGGGAGGGAGGGAGGGAGGGAGGGGAGGTGGTTGTATTTACACGTACACATATTGTTAGTGGTGTGTGTGTGTGTGTGTGTGTAGGTGCTGCATAGGATGTATACATAAATACATACATATATGAACCCCCCCACACACACACACACACACCATCAATTTCTTGGAAGGCTGTGACAGGTAGATTAACCCCTTCATCTACCCTGGAGGTAGATGAAGGAGTAGACTGATATTGTAGTAGTAGTAGTAGTAGTAGTAGTAGTAGTAGTAGTAGTAGTAGTAGTAGTAGTAGTAGTAGTAGTAGTAGTAGTAGAGTCGTCAGGGTGGTAACAGAAATATCCTGTCAATAGGAACAAGACCAACCATGCATACTAATGTCTCTCTCTCTCTCTATCTCTCTCTCTCTCTCTCTCTCTCTCAAACACATCGCATTGCTCTCCTCTCTCTCTCTCTCTCTCTCTCTCTCACAAAACACCACGAAAAAATAACCAGAATTTCCGTCACTTTAAATTAAATAACAAAATCTTACCTAAAATCACCTTAAAACAACTACACCTTTAATCCAATTGTTTATCATAAGTATAGTTACCTTAAAATCCCCCCAAAATTACCTTTATTGATAATTCACTTAAAATACTTAAAAATTACCTAAAAACACTTACCTTAAAAACTCAGGATAACATCTTTAACAATTATTCACACCTTACCTTAAATAAATTACCTTAACGATGATTAATTAACCTGGAATACCTTAAAAAGACCTAAAAGAGAAGTAATTTACCTAAAACAGTTTAAAGGGGTTACTTAAAGAGAATAATCACAATAATAAGAATTTCAGACGAGAGAAGCAATTGAGAGGAAGAAAGACACAAGTCAACACTCACTTTCTTGGCCTGACAGAACTCCTTGCTCACGACCTCAGCTGTGCAGTACATCTTATGGGGCGTCTCTGTAAATAAGACGTGTAAATGACTGTAAATATGGGGTAAATAATTGTAAATATAGTGTAAATGACTATAAATATGGTGTAAATAGGAAAAAAGAAACTAAATATGGCGAACATGTCTGTAAATGTGGTGAAAATTACGATAAATATTGCGTAAATAACCGTAGACATGGTGTAAATGTCTGTAAATATCGTGTAAATGTAGAGAAAATTTGTATTAAATAAAAAGTGACGATCAAACCTAAACATATCAACAAATGAGTCAAATATATAAATGAAATAATAACAAGTCAAATCCATAAGTGAAACAAAACAAGTGACAATCAAATGTAAACATAAACCAAATGACAGTCACATATATAAATGAAATAAAAACAAGTGACAGTCAAATGTATAAATGAAATAAAAAAAAAACAAGTGAAATTCGAAAATGTAAGCATAAATACGGTCAGACGGGAAACAAAGGGGCCATTCATCTTCCAACCACACACACACACACACACACGGGACCATTATGTATTTTAGGCGCCATTTTATCACGTTTTAAATCACCTGGTTACATTATCAGTTGCTAAAACACCATAAAAAACAATAAAACACCAGGAGGGAGGGGGAAGAGAGGGAGGGAGGGAGGGAGGAGAGAGGGAGGGGGAAGAGAGGGAGGGAATGGTGGAGAGAGGGAGAGAGAGAGAGAGAGAGCAGTAACAACTATCAAAAACAACAAAAACATTTACAAACAAACAAACCAAACAAACACATTTTAAAACCAAACAAAACAAAACCAACCATTAAACAAACACCTTTCAGATAAACACACAGACGGGCATATGATTGAGTATGACTGAGCATGAACGAAATAAACTACAAAATACAGATGTAGTGTGGAACGCTACTAGAATGACTGCTTGTAGTGTATGAATGTATATATGAACAGACTATCCGATGGAGGTGTTATAATCATACAAGATCGATGAAATATACACAATACTGACTCACTTTGAGGCCAAGGTATGTGTATGAATCAAATGGAGGAAGTGGAGGTGTGGATTCCCTTCAAGTAGGACTCGATAGTGGAGGTGGTGGTCATCCCATACCAGAAGGACGTTTCCCGGCCCGGGCATGAATGGACGCTATTTTTCCCCTCGCTCGACGAGGGACGCGGCGCCCGCGGTTCGTTGGTCAGAGGTTAAATAGCAAAAAGGTTGATTACGCAGTTGAACGGAGGGAATTGATTGCTATGTATACAGTAATTATACACTATGTAAATTTATGCATATTCTATACTATATACAGTCATATATATACACCACACACACCCACAGACTATATAAACCCCTACACACACACACACAACCCTACCCACCACACACAACCCACCCCACACACACACTCACCTTAATGCACCACACACAACCCACCCCCACACACACACCCACCTCTACCCACACACACATTCCCCCACTCCACCACACACACAACCCTACCCACCACACACACACCCACCCCCAACACCCCCCAAAACCCACCAACAAACCCACCAATTTATCCCTCAACTCTTGGTTTTCCTGCTGAAGTTTCCTGACATCTTCGTTGGCGCTCAGCGAACCGGACGGGGAAACTGCCGAAGCTCCGGACTCTGTAAACGACATGCTCAAGTCGGTCGGTCGTTCTGGCGTGACGACGAAACTGAGGCGTTTGACCCGGAGAACCTCACCCTCTAGGCGTGTTATATCCTTCTGGAGTATCTCGCAACGTTCCTGTGTGGTGGTAATGAGAGACGGTAGTGATAGTGGTAGTTGTGGTGATAGTGGTGGTGGTGGAAGTGATGATGTTAATATTGTCATTATTTTTCACTTTTAATCTGGATTTTCTGGTTAAATAGACAGACAGATAGACAGACAGACAGACAGACAAACAGACAGATAGACAGACAGACAGACATTTACTGTACAGGTTCTTACACCACGTCCTCCTTACCCCCTTAAACCAGGACTCAAAATATATAAATGAAAGATAAACAACCCCCCCCACCCCCTCCCTAGAGTAGTTAGCGTACCTTAAGCGCCTCGTTCTCGGAGACCAGGGCACTCATGAGGTGGTCGGTGGAGCCCGTGGCCGCGTTGTGCATCAGTCTCCGCAATTTCTCCGTCTCGTCCGTGAGGAGTTCGACTCTAAGCCGGAGATCTTCGATTACTCTCTCTTTATCCTGGGAGACCGACTTGATGGCGTCGTTAAATACAATCTGCGAAAAAGAGACGGTTGTTTGGGGTTTATTTAATGCGCGTACATACAAAAATACACACACCTGCATCTACACACACATACACAGATGACATACATGCAGTGAAAATACAACATACATACACACATACATACATACATACACTCTCTCTCTCTTAACTACAATTCTTCTTTACATTCTTCCATCCACCCATCCATTCCTCTATCCATCCATCTATCCACCTCACCAGTTTGTCTCAATCCATCATCCATCTATCCAATTCTCCATCACCTACCAATCTTCCTAACCCTCTATCCCACCCACCTATCCATCTATCCGTCTCACCTGCTTCTCTGCTTCAATCCACCGCCTCTCACCCACCTATCCACCTATCCGTCTCACCTGCTTCTCCGCTTCAATCCGCCGCCTCTCACCCACCTATCCACCTATCCATCTCACCTGCTTCTCCGCTTCAATCCGCCGCCTCTCGTCTTTCCTCATAGTCTCGTGTTTCTGAAGTTCGTCTCTCCTCACTTGGCCAAACTGTTCCTGGAGGCCGATCTTCGTCTCCTCAATGGCCACTTCCTTCTCCTTCAATAGTTCCTCCCTCAGTCTGGCCAGGGCCGCCTCGTGTGCCCCCATGTCCAGGAAATCGCCGCGCTGTGACGGGGTTCAGGTCAGGTGAGGTGGGGTTAGTTTGGGGTTACATTGGAGTTTATATACCCTATTTCTAACCTAACTTAATGCTAACCTAACCTATCCTAACTTACCCTAACATTAACTAACCTAACCTAATGCTATTCTACCTTAACCTAATCTAGTGTAATGCTAAATTAACCTAACTTAGTGTAATGCTAAACTACCCTAATCTTACTTTACGAGAAGATTAATCAATTTAATACTAACCTAACCTATTTTAACACTAACCTAACCTATTTTAACACTAACCTAACCTATTTTAACACTAACCTAACCAAACAAAAGCAAAGAATAATCATTAAATTAAGAAAAGATACAACTAAGAACGGATCAAAATGAACTTATTTCACTGAACGACTAAATTAAATCGATTAACAAACTCTGACTCAAATTTCTCGAGGGAAGTCTCCGAGGGCGACCTATTCCACGTGCCTTAAAACAGAACAATAAGCAAACTCTACCTCAAATTTCTCGAGGGAAGTCTCCGAGGGCGACTTATCCATACTGGCTGTAGTCATCATCCTAAACCTCGACCTCAGGCCCTCCAACTCCATCTTGTACTGCTGGCGGACATGTTCCACGTTGGAGTCTCTCTCGTCTCTCCACCGCGTCTCCTGCGTTGAGATAAACCGTCGTTGTTTACAAGTGCGGTCGTTATGTACCTCTCGACGCCTTAACTATGGGGTCGACAGTTTTGATGGTAAGCAATAGATGATTTTATTCGGCTCAGAGGTGACACCGTTAAGTTAGGTTAGGAAACATTAATTCGGTTAGGTTAGCTTGGGTTAGGTTAGGGAAGCTTTGGTTAGGTTAGATTAGGTTAAGTTAGCTTGAGTTAGGTTAGATTAGGTTAAGTTAGCTTGAGTTAGGTTAGGTTAGATTAGGTTAAATTAGCATGAGTTAGGTTAGATTAGGTTAAGTTAGCTTGGGTTAGGTTAAGTTAGCTTGGGTTAGGTTAGCTTACACATAATATAACCACCCTAAATAACCCCCCCCCCCAACAACAACAAAAACAACTCACAATCTCCGCAACCTTGTCCGCGATCTCCGTTCTCTTCTCCTGTTCCCACTGATGTTTACACTGTGCGTAATGGGCGGCGTGTTTCTCCGTCAGGTCTTTGTGCTGTTGGTCGACCACCTCCCGCCACTCTACCACCAGCTTTGTCCGCACCTCCTCGCAGGCGGCTTGTATTGCCTCTTCCTTCTCCTTCAAAAGCCTGTTGTGGGGTAATGATGTTGTGATGCCCTTTTGTTTTAGGGGGATTATTCTATTTGACTATCCATCTATCCAACTACTATCTATCTATCAAACAAACTATTCTTCCACCCCTCAAGACACTTACCTACTAACGTGCGCCTGGTGTTCGTTGATCAGCTGTTCCCTTAGACTCTCGAGGGCATTCTTCTCTCTCTCGCTAAAACTCACTTCGAGGATCTTCACTATCTTGTCCTTCTCCTCCTGGATGTGAGCGGCGAAGCGTTCCTTGAAGTTGTTCTCCAGGTCGCTGCGTTCCCTTTCTGCGCACTGGAGGGTTTCTTCGAGGCTTTTCAGTTTCTGTATGGGGGTATAGAGGAGGAGGAGGAGGGAGGGTTAGTGTGTGTTTTAAGATTGACTCTCTCTCTCTCTCTCTCTCTCTCTCTCTCTCTCTCTCTCTCTCTCTCTCTCTCTCTCTCTCTCTCTCTCTCTCTCTCTCTCTCTCTCTCTCACCCTCAAGGACAAGCTAGACTCTCACCTGCGTCAGAACGATAATTTCCTCCTGTCGGCTCGAGTCGTCCTCTTGCCAGCGCTCCTTCAGGTTAACCATCTCAAGTTCGTGCTCCAAGGTCAAGCGTTTAACGGCCTCGACCTTCTCCTCGATCAACAGGCGTTTGGCTTCCTCGAATTCCACCGTCGTTTGCTGCCAAGGGAAAGAAAGACGTTATTAATGAACTATATAGAGATCAAAGTCCATTATATCAAGGGTCCATTATATGTAAAACCTCCATCTAATGAACTATATAGAGATGAAAGTCCATTATATCAAGGGTCCATTATATGTAAAACCTCCATCTAATGAACTATATAGAGATGAAAGTCCATTATATTCAGGGTCCATTATATGTAAAACCTCCATCTAATGAACTATATAGAGATGAAAGTCCATTATATCAAGGGTCCATTATAGTAAAACCCATCTAATGAACTATATAGAGATGAAAGTCCATTATATCAAGGGTCCATTATATGTAAAACCTCCATCTAATGAACTATATAGAGATGAAAGTCCATTATATTAGGTCCATTATATGTAAAACCTCCATCTAATGAACTATATAGAGATGAAAGTCCATTATATTACTGTTATCATTTACTCTGAATCAATATTTTTCTGCTAAAGTATAAACTGTTTCAATATATCAGGTTAGGTCAGGTTAGGTCAGGCCACACACCTGCAGGGTCTCCTGATGGCGGTGCAATTGTTCCTGATACATCTCAATCTCCCGCTGGGCGTCGTTCAGCTTGTGTGACTGCAGGTCCACCGTTCCCCTCAGTTGTTCCTGGAGGCGGTCCTGGTCAGCCTGGCCAGCATCGCCACTTATCAGTGCGCCTGCTCGGCCGATGTCTGCACCTGGATCTGTTTAATTGATAACGTCTTTTGAGTTGTGTGATGATTGCTAGGTGCTAAGAACATAAGGACTCTGCAATAGGCCGGTTGGTCAGTGCATGGCAGCTCCTGTCGAGAGTTACTACCACTCTCTATCATCCATGAATCTATCCAGCCTCCTTTTGAAACTTTCCAGCACTTACTACAAAGTTGCTAAGCTTGTTCCACTCGTCCACCACCCTATTTGTGAACCAGTTTCTTCCTATCTCACTCCTAAACCTAAACTTATCCAACTTGAACCGTTGTTCGAGTCCTATCCTGCTTGATATTATAAGAACTTTATCTATATCCCTTTATTGATTCCTTCCCCAAAACTTCATCATATCTCCCTCCTTTCTAGAATGTGTGATGATTAGACACCCCCAATCCCCTAATCATTTAACTGACTAACCTTCCCAAAGTTCTTCTATTCTTACTCATTAATACTTCTCAGTTATCTATAAAACTCACTAACTATATATTGCTATCTGAGACTAGATACGAGATGATTTGCAATTTTAGTCTTTATGGATCAGCTGAAGAATAGCCCCCTAGTGCTTACCTGGGGGAGATAATCTTCAGGTGAGCACTCAGGGGAAATAATCTTCAGGTAATTTATAAAAGCTAAAATTACAAACCACCTCGTTCAGGGTCTCGACTAAATCGTAAACACAAACTGGACGGACAAATCACGGTGAGAAACGTCCGATAACATCACAGTAACTAATGAGATGGGAGCCAACGTACACACCTGAAGCAAAACGTCCAAGATTCTCGACGAAAGTTCCGATATGTAGTTTACGTACGTCTCTCCCTCGTCGCGGACCTGGAAGTAAACGTGATGAGTTAGGTGAGAATTAGGTGGGGTTAGGTTAGGTTAGGTGTTCTGCGTCGTAAAGCTTCAGATCGTGTGAACATTGTTTATTATCTTCCATTGTTTGTTTAGTGAAGTCTAATATTAACCTAATGAGTTAATCTAGCATAAAGTAATCTAACCTAACAAGACAGAGGGACAGAGATACAGACAGAAAGAGCGTGTAAGCAACCCCCCCCAAGACAACGTACCTTCCCCCGTAAGGACGCCAACTCCGACTTAAGACTGAGCACTTCATCTTGGCACTGTAGGGAGGCGAGGGCACTGAGGCGTTGCTGTAGCTGGTCCACTTCTTCCTTGGCTTGTGTCAGGTCGGTCTGGAGGAATAGATCATCGCTTAAAATGGAAAAGTCTAATCATGGGGTCAACTTGTTATGTGAATCGCTAAAGTTCGAAAGCGTCTCATTATGTTATCGACGTTAATTACAGTATTTGTGATGGTTAGGAATATAACCAATTATGGGGTCAACTTGTTATGTGAATACGCTAAAGTTCGAAAGCGTCTCATTATATTATCGGCGTTAATTACATTATTTGTGATGGTTAGGAATATAACCAATCATGGGGTCAACTTGTTATGTGAATCGCTAAAGTTCGAAAGCGTCTCATTATGTTATCGACGTTAATTACAGTATTTGTGATGGTTAGGAATATAACCAATTATGGGGTCAACTTGTTATGTGAATCGCTAAAGTTCGAAAGCGTCTCATTATGTTATCGGCGTTAATTACAGTATTTGTGATGGTTAGGAATATAACCAATTATGGGGTCAACTTGTTATATGAATCGCTAAAGTTCGAAAGCGTCTCATTATATTATTAACGTTAATTACATTATTTGTGATGCTTAGGAATATAACCAATTATGGGGTCAACTTGTTATAAGAATTGTTAAACATCAAAAGCCTTTTCTAATGATATTCTCTTTAACTGTTTGTTGAATTAAGGTATTTACACCAAACCATCGAATTTATTAACAAAATCCCAGAAGCCAATTTGTTTTTTTTAGTTATGAATGAGATGTATAACTACCCCACACTAACCTACCTCAGGGAAAGGAACAAGGTGCATTAATATACACCACAGTGTGACCTAACTACCCCAGTGTGACCTAACTACCCTAGTGTGACCTAACTACTAACCTACCCCACAGAGCAACAAACTAACCAAGACACGTTTACACTCACCTGGAGGTTCAATATGGCCGAGTTCTTATCCTCTAGTTGTTGCTGTAGTTCGGCGGTGATGACGTGGTGAGTCTTGACCATGGGGGGCGGGTGTCTGGAGCACGATGCCGCCGTCCCGCCGCTCTCCGTGTAGCTAGAGGGCATCGACTCATCAATGTAGTATTCGGCGGTGACAAACTCCTGGGATGTGAGCATAGACTCGGGGCTGATCGCAGGGTCTTGGGGGGACGCCGGTGACGCTACGTTTCCCCGCGTGGCTACAGTGCCCGGCCTATTAAAGGGGAGAAGGACGCCCGCGACCTCCAAGCTAGTTCATTCATTACCGACTGTGCTTCTCTCGCTCTCTCTCTCTCTCTCTTTCTCACTTCCTCTATCTATGTCTCTCTCTTATCTATGTCTCCCTCTATCTTTCTTTATATCGTCTCACAAAACTCAAAGATCAAACTACTTAATTACCCGAACGCTAATAACCCCACAAGTCACCACCATCGCCACGAAACAAACAAGAAATATTTTGACCCCAAGGCTATTAGTCCAGCTTGGGGTCTGTGTGGCTAAGGCTCCGTAAACAACAAATCTTTAGGACGTGACGAGGGGAAAGTCAGGCACTGCACTCGATAAACCTTCACTTAACCGACAGTGAAATCGCGCACCCAATTATAAACTCAAATCGTGTAGGCAATTTAATATTTAAGTCGTAGAATTAGTTACTGTGGGGTGGCGGCCTCAGAGACTCAAAATCTAACTTCATTTGTTGTTCTTTAACCTCTCGAACAAGTGACGATATTATGCTGTTATTATTTTGATTGGCCGAACGATGGTTAATATCTATCATAACTAAGACGGTGTTATTATTGTGTCGTTCACCAGTTTAATAGGTGATTGGACGGTTGTTATTTAAGACCTACACTAACATGACCCAATGTAACGTGATCTTTACCTAACCTAACCAAATCTAACCTAACATGACTTAACCTAACATAACCTGACATAACCAAATGTAACCTAACATAACCTGACCCGACCTAACCTGACATATTGATAGGGTCACACAGTATAGCACTGTTCCCACTTAACCTAAGAACCTGACCCCTGAGAGACAAACTCTAAACCACCAACACCTTGTTTAAGGCTAAAGTGTCGACGCTCGGACCTCCAGACAGACAAACAAACTGACCAATACCGTCCACCGCCTACGACACGACAAAAATGGCAAAAATAAATCGTACGGTTAAAAATTCACCCTATCGCACTGGGGGTATCTATGTTTGAGGAGGATGGTTGTTCTCTGTGAGGGAGATTGGGGGCTGTCTCGAGGCATCTCATCAGACCTGAAGTCCTCTACCTAACCTGGGGGGCGTTGGTATACCACGACTTGATTGAGTCGGCGCGCCATACGGTTATATGGCTGTTAAGTGTGGTGGTGAGGGGTGGAGAGAGAGAGAGAGAGAGGGAGGAGAGAGAGAGAGGACCATGGGGGGGGGAGGGAGGGGGGGAAGAAGAAGGAGGAGGAGGAGGGAACGATAACAACAACTAAAGGAAAGTAGCGGTACTTGTCTTCTTAATTCTCTCTGTTAGGTTAGGTTAGGTCTGGATAGGTTAGGTGAGGTTAGGTTAGGTTAGGTTAGGTTAGGTTAGGTTAGGTTAGGTTAGGTTAGGTTAGGTTAGGTTAGGTTAGGTTAGGTTAGGTTAGGTTAGGTCTGGATAGGTTAGGTTAGATCAGGTCAGGTCAGGTCTGGTATATTAATCCCTAACTGACAAGGGATAATAAAAATAAATAAAATATTTAGCCATTGACCAAAATTCTCATAAATAATCCTCAGAAAAATATAAAAACATCAACATCGAAACATCAATAAATTACCACAATAAATCACTAAATTACCACAATAAATCACTAAATTACCACAATAACATCAATAACAACATCCTATTATCTAGGTGAGGAAAGAAAATAACTGAAGAAATTATTGAATATTACGTTATATTTCTGACTGATGTTGATAAGATAGTTTGAGTAACGAGACGTGTTTATGGAGCAATAAGGTACAGTACTCAACCTCATCATCTTTCCTCGACGGTCAAAACAACGTGAAACGTCTATTTAACGGACATATAGAGAGGAAGGTTCATTATATCGAGGTTCCGTTAGGCATGAAACCTCGAAGTAATGAACCGTATAGAGGAAAGTCCGTTATATCGAGGTTCCGTTAGTTTAAATAAATAAAGTCCATTATACAGAGGTCTTACCATATCAACACACACACACAGACAGAGACAGACAGACAGACAGACAGACAGACAGACAGACAGACAGACACACACACACACACAGACAGACAGACACACACACAGACAGACAGAGACAGACAGACAGAGACAGACAGACAGACAGACAGACAGATAGACAGACAGACAGACACACACACACACAGACAGACATACACACACAGACAGAGGCAGACAGACAGACACAGACAGAGACAGACAGAAAGACACAGACACACACACACACGCACACACACATAAACGCACCTGAGTTCCTCCTGGACCGCCCCCCCCACAGGAGACGTTGACCCAGTGCCCCCGTCGAGCTTGATGTGTTTAGAGTCGTTAACCTGAGTCGAGAAATGTTGTTTTGTCTTCATGGATCCTCGGCTGTTGTCTGGCATCACCTATAGGGGGGGGAGTAGGTCATTGTTATAGGTGATAGTTTGGTTAGGTTAGGTTTTATATACAGTATACATATATTTCATTGTATAGTATATATATTTTTAAAGAGTTCTTTCCTCTTATGATGCAGTGTGACCCTAACCTAACCCAACCCAGCCTAACCTGACCAAATATTGACAAAACGGCAGAATCTCGTCACACCGGAGACTTACCTCCATGGGGGAGAAAGTGCCGTCACTGCCGCCACTACACCCGACCTTCTCAAACTCCTCCGTGTCCGTCTCTGACTCGTGGTGTTCCCTGGGGGTTATAAACGTCAACAATGATAACTTAAGTAATTTACGGCAAAACTTCTGTTTAATGAACTATATTGAGGGTCCGTTAAATGTGAAACCATCATATAATGAACTATTTGCATATGAAAGTTTGTTATATTGAGGTTCCGTTTGATATGAAACCGTCATCTAACAAATTACAGTAAATGGAGAGAGAAGTTCCTTATAAAGAGGTTTCGAAGCTGTTACACCAATAAACACCAAAAGATCGAAGACTTTTATTTATAGCTCCACAGATAGTCTACTAACACCTTGTGTATGGGGTCACCTCTGAGCTGAATAAAATCATGTTGTTAATATTAAAAGTGTCGTCCCTGTAGTGAAGGTGTTAGTGGTGATAGTCTACTAACACCTGGTGTATGGGGTCACCTCTGAGCTGAATAAAATCATGTTGTTAATATTAAAAGTGTCGTCCCTGTAGTGGAGGTGTTAGTGACGCACCTCGTGAGGGACAACGGCCGTAGTTGTTGACCTCTGTGGTTGCCGTCTCTGTCTGGAGTGTTGCGGGGGGTGACGGAGGCCGCTGTGGTCACCGCTGATGTGTACATGTCTCCGCTTCCTTCCTTTAAAAACACCTCGCTACTCCTGCAGGACGGATAGATAGACACTGTGCTTACATAGATACAAAGATATTATCATCATTATTATTATTATTATTATTATTATCATTATTATTATCATTATTATTATCATTATTATTATTATTATTATTATTATCATCATTCTTATCATCTTAGACATTTGGTAAACGATACAAACACAGAGGGAGAGGAGGGGTGAGGAGAGGGGGGGTGAGGGGAGAGGGGGGGTGAGACAGACCTAGGACTGTGGGTGTTGGAGGTATGTGACTGTAGCGCCACCTGGAGGAGAGGAGGGATGGAGATCACTTCCCCCACCACCAACATGGACGCCAACTCTGGTAATATCGCCCGTAACTGTTCTATGTTCTCCTCTGTTAGCTGTTGTAGAGAGAGAGACGGATTATTTAGTGCTCTAACCTAACCTAACCTAATCTAACCTAAATTAACCTAACCTGATCAAACTTAATCAAACCAAACCTAACCTAACCTCTTCCAATTTAACCTGACCTCTAACTCAACCTAAATTAACCTAACCTGATCAAACTTAATCAAACCAAACCTAACCTAACCTCTTCCAATTTAACCTGACCTCTAACTCAACCTAAATTAACCTAACCTGATCAAACTTAATCAAACCAAACCTAACCTAACCTCTTCCAATTTAACCTGACCTCTAACTCAACCTAAATTAACCTAACCTGATCAAACTTAATCAAACCAAACCTAACCTAACCTCTTCCAATTTAACCTGACCTCTAACTCAACCTAAATTAACCTAACCTGATCAAACTTAATCAAACCAAACTTAATCTAACCCCCAGAAGAAAAATTTAGTCGGTAGAATTCTCGACACTTCACCAATAGGACAAAGAATCATTCCCGGGTCAAGTCAGGGTCAACGGGCTGTTAAATTCAACGACCCCTAATCATACCCTCCCCCTCCCCCCCAACCCAAAACAGACAAGAGGGCCGTACGTTTGGTAGTGTATCGTCGAATGTATCCGGCGGCTGAGTGGCGAAATCCGGCGGGAGGTCATCCATGCCAGGGAAGAGACTGGCTAGGAAGTGCGACGAGAACTGGTGGATGAAATGTCGTCTGGTCGTTACCTCCCGCTGCCACACGTCACTGCTCTCTGTGCTTAGTGCCGTCGCCCACTGGTGTACACAAACAAAACATTATTACCTTAGGGTCTGGTTAGGTTTGGTTAGCATTGTGTTAGGGATAGGTTAGGATGTTGTTAGGATAGTGTTAAGTTGGGTTAGGATACTGTCAGGATAGTGTCAGGTTAGGTTTGGATAGTATTGTGTTAGGGATAGGTTAGGATGTTGATAGGATAGTGTTGTTGGGTTAGATACTGTCAGGATAGGTGTCTGGTTAGGTTTGGTTAGCATTGTGTTAGGGATAGGTTAGGATGTTGTTAGAATAGTGTTAAGTTGGGTTAGGATACTGTCAGGATAGTGTCAGGTTAGGTTTGGATAGGTTTGGTTAGGTTAGTGTTGGTTAATACAGGTATACAGATATACATAAATTCATATATACATACATAGATCAATAAATATACAGACAGACAGACAAACAGACAGACAGCAATCACTCCACTCACCAAACAATACACAAAAACAATAAACAAATAAACGAACAACGACCCTAAGAGTGACCCCCCCCCCCCGCCCCGCCCCCTTACCTACCTGAACGAAAGACTTGGAGAATGTGTGTCTGCGTGCGACCTCGGTGATGGCGCTGACGTAAACACGAGGTGCTCGGTGGATCTGTTCGATGACCTGGAGAAGCCCCGTGACTCTGCGGACGTTCTCGTGATGCATAGTGAGTTTGTTGTCGAGTTCGTACAGCTTTTTCTCTATGTACATTATCCACCTGTGGTATAATGTAGAGTGTGAGGTGTTACATAACAGTGCTGTAACATCAAGTACATCAAGGTGTTACATAATGACCTGTAACATCAAGTACATCAAGGTGTTACATAATGACCTATAACATCAAGTACATCAAGGTGTTACATAATAGTGCTGTAACATCAAGTACATCAAGGTGTTACATAATGACCTGTAACATCAAGTACATCAAGGTGTTACATAATGACCTGTAACATCAAGTACATCAAGGTGTTACATAATAGTGCTGTAACATCAAGTACATCAAGGTGTTACATAATGACCTGTAACATCAAGTACATCAAGGTGTTACATAATGACCTGTAACATCGGGTACATCAAGGTGTTACATAATGACCTGTAACATCAAGTACATCAAGGTGTTACATAATGACCTGTAAATATCAAGTACATCAAGGTGTTACATAATGACCTGTAACATCAAGTACATCAAGGTGTTACATAATAGTGCTGTAACATCAAGTACATCAAGGCAGGTGTTTACATAATGACCTGTAACATCAAGTACATCAAGGTGTTATGATAACGACCTTGTAACATCAAGTACATCAAGGTGTTACATTAACAGTGTTGTAACATCAAGTACATCAAGGTGTTACATAATAGTGCTGCAACATCAAGTACATCAAGGTGTTACATAATGACCTGTAACATCAAGTACATCAAGGTGTGTTACATAATGATCTGTAACAAGTACATCAAGGTGTTACATAATAGTGCTGTAACATCAAGTACATCAAGGTGTTACATAATGACTAAAATATCAAGTACATCAAGGTGTTACATAATGACCTGTAACATCAAGTACATCAAGGTGTTAAGCATAATAGTGCTGTAAATATCAAGTACATCAAGGTGTTAAGCATAATGACCTGCAACATCAAGCAATACATCAAGGTGTTACATAACACCCGTAACATCAAGTACATCAAGGTGTTAAGCATACAAAGTTGCAACATCAAGTACATCAAGGTGTTACATAATAGTGCTGTAACATCAAGTACATCAAGGTGTTACATAATGACCTGTAACATCAAGTACATCAAGGTGTTACATAATGACCTGTAACATCAAGTACATCAAGGTGTTACATAATAGTGCTGTAACATCAAGTACATCAAGGTGTTACATAATGACCTGTAACATCAAGTACATCAAGGTGTTACATAATGACCTGTAACATCAAGTACATCAAGGTGTTACATAATGACCTGTAACATAACATAATCAGAAGCATTACAGGACCCTAATACAAATAAAACACCAATGCTGTAATAGATTAGAGCGTCAAAAATACAAGCCGTCTCGTTCAACAGTTAACCGTAAGAATTTTTAACCGACGGCGTTTAAATGTTCATTATGGCTTTCATTACAGATTTTTTGCTGTTTACTTAAAAGATGTCAAAGTGTTTACATAAAACACATCAAAATGTTTACATAAAAGGAGTCAAACAGTTTACACAAAAGATGTGAAACAGTTTACACAGAAGACATCAAACTGTTTACATAAAGACATCTTACCGTTTATCGAACACATTAAAAAGACGTCTTATCGTTTCCACACAAGTCGTACTCACTTTAATCTGACGTGCAGGTTTTCCGAGAGTTCTTCCTTGGCTTTTATGCATCGTCGTTTGATGTCTTGTACCTGCGGACAAAAATGACGCCTTCAGCACATAGATCCAGGAATAAATCATCAAATAAATGCTCTATATTATTCGAAGGGGTAAAGATAAATGCTAGAGCAGACTGAAGAATTATTCATCTTCAAAATTTTCTATAGAAGTTAAAGGAAAAAAAAATCAATGGTTAAAGACACAAATCGAAGAACAATAATGCGCACACACACACACCCCCAAGGTAAGAGAACAACAAAGTCACGTACCCTCTGATGGTTCTTGAGCATGTGCATGAGGTTCTTCCTATGGGACGTACAGAGGTCGGGGAAGATCGACGGATCGTTTACCTTCCCCGCACGATTCTGGTTCTGGATCAACGCCTAAGTCACGAGGAGGAGAAGTAACGATGAGTGTTTACAATAAGGTACCATCATACACTATAAACACACCTTAAAACACTATAAAACACACCATCACACACCATAAAACACCATCACACACTCTAATCCACCATCACCACATCCTCCACACACACACACACACACACACACACACACACACACACACACACACACACACACACACACACACACACACACACACACACACACACTCTCCCTCCACACACACACACACACACCCTTAAGCTCCCCACGTCAACAAACCTGAGCAAAATTGTTCTGTTCCTGGACGATCTTGTTGGCCTCGTGCATCAGTTGTTCGAGCCCAAAGAGCCGTTCCCCGAGGCCCTTAATCTCCTTCATCTGCGGACGGTCGGCTTCGTGACTCACGCTGTTGACCTCACTCGCCAGCTGTGTCAACATTCCCTCATTGATCTGCGGACGATAAAAAAAAAATAAAAATCCCGACGTCAAATTATCATAAACTTCATTCCTTCGTTGATCTGCAGGCGGCAAAAAAAAAATAAAAATCCCGACGTCAAATTATCATAAACTTCATTCCTTCGTTGATCTGCAGGCGGCAAAAAAAAAATAAAAATCCCGACGTCAAATTATCATAAACCTATAAGACACCCTGTACAGTCACTCAAAAAAAAAAACTATCTCGACTAAACTGTGTTGATAAAATACGACACAACAGATGAATGATTTTGACAACCCCAGCGAGACAAGAAGAGTCACAGTGTTCATTTTGGAATTGATCGATCACCCCTAAAGTAGAGAGATATAGTGTTTTGATCGATCACCCCTAAAGCAGAGAGATATAGTGTTTTGATCAATCACCCCTAAAGCAGAGAGATATAGTGTTTTGATCGATCACCCCTAAAGCAGAGAGATATAGTGTTTTGATCGATCACCCCTAAAGCAGAGAGATATAGTGTTTTGATCGATCACCCCTAAGCAGAGATCAGTGTTTTGAGCGATCGTACCTCAACACCAACATAGCCCATACCTGTGTGTGACCTATACATCGCCATCCCCAAACAAACCAAGCGGAAGTTACTGTCACCTGCGTTAGGCCGCGGTAACAGAGTTGAGCGATCTGTCCCACGTTGCTCTGGCTGTCTTTGGCGCTGATCCAGTCCAGAAGACTCATAGTTGGTTTAGCCTCGCAGCCCTCGATGCCGTCTGCCGGAATTACGAAATATCAATCAAAATACATCGATGTTTGGCTGTATGTGTTGTAAATATTAACATTATCTGGTGAATTACAACGTGGGAATAAATCGTACCTCTTCACCCATACCCTCTAAAACAAAAAGATACCCCACACCACGGAACTCTTACCCTTGTCTTCCTCCGCGTTATTCTCCGTCTCGTCAACTTTACCCCCGTGCTGGGATTCATTCTTTCTCTTCCTCTCTCCTAACAGCGCCGGCAGAACGGGTATTCTGGACAAGAGCTTCAAGTCTTCTTCGAAACTGTAAATAAGAAACACGATTTGAGGCCGGGGTCGTTGTCTGTGTTGAAGAGTGTAACAGTCGGGACAGATCAGGAGAGATTAGGTCTGGTTAGATTAAATTAGGGTAAATAAGGTTAAGTCAGAACACATCAGGATAGATTAAGATATGTTAGGTGAGGCTAGGTTAGATCAGGTCAGGCTAGGTCAGGTCTCATCATCAAATACTCACTTCTCAAGAATTCCAGACTTCTCGTCGCGTCCCTTCAAGCATTCATTAAAACTCGACTCAAAATTCTCGAATCTGTTCTTGAAAGCCGACACAATGTCCTCTAGGTTGGCTACCACGGCTGCCCATCCTGTGAAAAAAAAAATGGGGTGAATTATATGTGAATAGGTTTAATTTATTGTAGCTGTTCATCCTGGGGAAAAAATTGGGGTTGTAAATTGGGTCCTTAATCCCACAAGACCACATCCTCACAGCACACAAGACCAAACCCTTCACAAGACCACAGCCTCACAAGACCACACCCTTCACAAGACCACACCCTAGACCTAACCTCACCTTGTTGCTGCAGATGCTGGTCGTGCACTAACTGTTGACAAGTGCGGGTCTGGTCGCGGGAGTGTTCGTGAAACTGCTGAGCCAACTGTGCCCGAGCGACCACTGTGTTGTAACTGGCTGGCATGTTCAACGCTCCCTCCACCTGGTCCTGTAAACATACAAAATATATACGTACATGAATAAAATATATACGTACATGAATAAAATAAATACGTACATGAATAAAATATATACGTACATGAATAAAATATATGTACATGAATAAAATAAATACGTGCATGAATAAAATATATACGTGCATGAATAAAATATGTATACATGAATAAATTAAAAACGTACACAAATAGAGTAAATATCCCAGTAAAGAAAAAGAATAAATTACACAAACAATTAAATAAATCTAAAAAAATACTTAGTTACTTCGAAGACAAACAAATAAACAGATTAACCATCGCGGTAATCAAATAGAATAAATTACTCGCAATACACAAAAAAATATGTTAGGTTAGTCATACTTTAAGGTCAGGTCAGCCATACCTTAAGGTCAGTATCAGTCCCGTAATCAATACTAGGTGATGGAGGAGTCTGGCCCTCTATGGTAGTCTTGGAGAACAGGAAGATAGGATTGGTGTCAGTACCCGCTGAGTACTGGCATACTCGCTGATTGGGGTCGAGCGCTTCCCCTCCAGAGATGAGAAGAACCTGTTTCTCTGGGGGGACTTTCATCGCTCGGTTGATGACTTCTTTCAGCACCGACACACTGTTGACGAGGGGGACGGGGGTCGTTTAGGGCGTGGGCAGTTGTTATTGTCGTTATACATTATTGTTATAAATTCTTCATCAATACCACAATAGTAAATAATAATGCTTCTTTTATTAGTATTATTAGTATTATCATTGTTATTAATTATCATCATAGTAATAAATATCATTCATCATTATCATCATCAAAGTAATAAATATCATTCATCATTATCATCATCAAATAAATAATATTCCTATCATTTCTCTCCTAAAGCTGACTAACTAAACACTTACCAAATACATTAACAACTATCCCTAATAACTATATAACATCAATTATAACAAACATTAAAGTCAGACCCCAAACCAAACTCACTTCTCGAGGGCCAGGTTCATATCGAAGGTCATCATCGTGCCAGTGTCGACGAGGAATACGTAGATCATCTTGGCGGCTAAACTATATTGTCATCACGTCATAACTGCAAGATAACGAGCGTTGGTTAGGTCGTTAGAGAGACACAATTCTACAAGATAACGAGCGTTGGTTAGGTCGTTAGAGGGACACAATACTGCAAGATAACGAGCGTTGGTTAGGTCGTTAGAGGGTCACAATTCTGCAAGATAACGAGCGTTGGTTAGGTCGTTAGAGGGACACAATTCTACAAGATAACGAGCGTTGGTTAGGTCGTTAGAGGGACACAATTCTACAAGATAACGAGCGGTGGTTAGGTCGTTAGAGGGACACAATACTACAAGATAACGAGCGTTGGTTAGGTCGTTAGAGGGACACAATACTACAAGATAACGAGCGGTGGTTAGGTCGTTAGAGGGACACAATTCTACAAGATAACGAGCGGTGGTTAGGTCGTTAGAGGGATACAATTATATAACTAACTAATAATTATAATCATCTATTTTACACCTTTATGGCCTTAAAAGGTGTAAATAAGCCGAAATATTTACAATTTACGACTTAAAAAATCACCTCAGAAAATCATCTTTGTTTACAAGCTTCAGCTGACCTTGCCAAGCCCTTGTTAATTGGCGCTTATTTACGTATTTACACCATAATTTACACTCATTTACACCTCCTAATGGCTTCCTCATCTTCTTATTTCATTATTAGTCACACATACTGGTGATATAAGGGATAAATAAGGAACTTACGGCGGAAATATTGGTTAGACGTTGTGATGAAAATTGCGTCTCAGCTATTAATGTTTTGGTCGCTATAAGTCTCTCGTTTTCGTATTCAATCCGGATTTAATATTTTGATGATCTTTTAAGATAAATAAAAATAATATATATCAATTTTTAATAAAATTCTAAAGTTAGTATAAATTTTAAATATTATTTTATCATGGTGTATTGTATTTGATATTTTTATATTTAAAAATCTCCATAAAAACTTCCAATCTTTGTAATTATAATTATTAAAAGTATAACTTACAAAAACGAAGGAGTAAAATGTTTACCTGAATCCGTTTCCCTATCAGTATTTGTTCTCTTAATATAAATAAAATCAATATAAATTCTTCATTTATAAATTTTTGAAACAACTATAAACTATGTATATAATTTATATGTAATTATGTATTTAATAATAATAGTTACTAAGTTTTCATAGAGATAACTAGATTTCCTATATATATATAATACCTAAAAGTATAACCTTAGAGAAACGGTCGGATTTGTGTATATATAATTGCGAGAATTTAATGAGCATAAATTTAAAGTTTTGCCTTTTAAATTCTTGTATTTAAACCATAATGAATAAATTCTAAATTTTGTACAATATATTTACATTCTGATGAGTTATAAAGTAGTACAAATAACTAAAATATATAATGACTAATATAAATTTATTTATACATATAACTTTAATATAACAATAAAATTTATAATATTTTAATATTTATATTTTTTGGAAACTTTTCAGTAAATAATTTGTGAAGAAAATCATAATTTACGTTATGGTATAGTGATTATTTTCTTCAATGCATAAAATAATCACTATATTTAAAAGTTTAAATAAATAATTGTATTATATTTAAATATAATTAAAAATATATATGCAAATTTTTATATATAAATTCATAATATATAAATTTTAAAAAGAGTTTGGATATATTCTTAACACGAGGTGAGTTCAGGACAGCACCACAACATTCCAACATTCTACACTCCTTCTACCCCAGGTTGGTGTCATGGAGGAACGTGAATCACATCCTCTCCTTCATCTTTATTTATCTGCGTCATCCGTGTGTTATATCATGAACTATAACGATGAAAAATAAGTAATGGCGTTATATATTGTTGTTATATATATGAATTAGTGGTGTAACGTTGGTTTATTGTGTTACAGATCGAGCAAGATGGGGCGCCGTCCTGCTCGTTGGTAAGTCTTTCATAATTTTGTAACTTTATGATAATACCTATTGATATAATTATTATTTTCCGATATAATTATGCAAAATGGCTATGATTATTAGTATATTTAGGTTTGTTTTGATTAAATAAGTGAAATATGGCGGGAATTGAGTTTAGAAGGAATAATTATTACATCATGTAAAGAAATAATGTATAAATAATAATATAATGTGGAATATTATCAGTAAATGTTATATTAAATGATTAAATAAAGGAATAAATTCATAAAATGTTCTTAACTGTCGCATGGTAAGAGTCATCCAGCCTCTGATTGGTCCACGTGTATGACGTCAGAGGTAATTAATAGTTTAATGGCTTCATTAATTAGATGTGTAATTAATCTCCTGGATGATTAAATTAATGTAATAATTCGTCAACTTGGGGGGGGGGGCTAATCTTCAGGTGATCTCTCAATTACCCCACTTAAGACCTAACTACCCCACTTATTAAGACCTAACTACCCCACTTATTAAGACCTAACTACCCTACTTATTCAGATCTAACAACCTCACTTATTCAGACCTAACAACCTCACTTATTCAGACCTAACTACCCCACTTATTAAGACCTAACTACCCACTTATTGAACCTAACTACCCCTTATTCAGACCTAACTACCCCACTTATTAAGACCTAACTACCCCACTTATTAAGACCTAACTACCCTACTTATTCAGATCTAACAACCTCACTTATTCAGACCTAACAACCTCACTTATTCAGACCTAACTACCCCACTTATTAAGACCTAACTACCCCACTTATTAAGCCGACATTACAGAATATACCATTGTCTGTACTGTGGTAAATGGTGGGCAAATTAATGCCAGTTTTTGTGTAAGGTTCGTCACTTTATGTAGTACGAGCCTAAGAATACACTCGGGACAAGATTAAACCTCCAACGATCGTTTGCTCGTCACAGATTATTATAAACTATCTGGTGATGTTTTAACGATCGTTGCCTCATTACAAAATATTAAAAATTGTCTTCTGATTTAACGATCGTTCCCTCATTACAAAATATGAAAAACCATCGTTATACTTCAACGACCATTGCCTCGTTACAAAACCTAAACCACCCGGTCTTGTTTATTAATGGACTTACTCTATTTCAGTTACCGCTACTGCAAAAATAAACCGTACCCCAAGTCACGGTTCTGTCGTGGTGTGCCAGACCCGAAGATCCGTATTTTCGACTTGGGGAGGAAGAAGGCCGATGTGCGCGAACTGCCGCTGTGCGTCCATCTGGTGTCTGATGAGTACGAACAGCTGTCCTCTGAGGCGCTGGAGGCCGGACGGATCTGTGCCAATAAGGTGTGTTGGTGGACCTGATTACCATATCTCTCTTAACTACCTCACTTATTGAGACCTAACTACCCCACTTATTCAGATCTAACTACCCCACTTATTCAGATCTAACTACCCCACTTATTCAGATCTAACTACCCCACTTATTCAGATCTAACTACCTCACTTATTAAGACCTAACTACCCCACTTATTATGATCTAACTACCCCACTTATTCAGATCTAACTACCCCACTTATTCAGACCTAACTACCCCACTTATTCAGATGTAACTACCCCACTTATTCAGATCTAACTACCTCACTTATTAAGACCTAACTACCCCACTTATTCAGATCTAACTACCTCACTTATTCAGATCTAACTACCCCACTTATTCAGATCTAACTACCTCACTTATTAAGACCTAACTACCCCACTTATTATGACCTAACTACCCCACTTATCTAGATCTAACTACCCCACTTATTCAGACCTAACTACCCCACTTATTAAGCCGACATTACAGAATATACCATTGTCTGTGCTGTGGTAAATGGTGGGCAAATTAATGCCAGTTTTTGTGTAAGGTTCGTCACTTTATGTAGTACGAGCCTAAGAAAACACTCGGGACAAGATTAAACTCTGTTGATAAGGGGATTCAATCATTTGGTGTCACAAGGGTTTAATGGTTAGGTTAACATGAGGATTAACACCCCTAATGCTACAACTTGAGGGATAGGTTTAAGTTAGGTTAGCTCATATTGGGTTATTTTTAAGATTAGGTCAGGTCAAGTTATATTTAAATTAAGGTCTGTTAGATTGTGTTAAGTTCAGATATGTTAGATTAATTTAAATACTGTTAGATTAGCACGATATGTTGGATTAAATACTGTTAGCTCAGGTTTAATGCTGTTTGGTTAGGTTAGGTTAGCACAGTATATAATTATAGACCCCAGGGTAGCCATTATAATGCTGACTCATCCTCCCCCCTACAGTACCTGGTGAAGAACTGTGGTAAGGATCAGTTCCACGTACGCGTTCGACTCCATCCCTTCCACGTGATCCGTATTAACAAGATGTTGTCGTGTGCCGGTGCTGATAGGTGAGTGGTCGTTGGCTAGTTTGGCTGTTAATGGTGTGCTCAGTTCCTGGTCGTTGCCTATTCCAGTAGTTAATGGTGTTTTCATGTGATTTATTTATAAATGTCAATTAATCTCTCTTGAGGGAGTGTAGTACAGTTAAACCTCCATCTAATGAACTATATAGAGATGAAAGTCCATTATATCCAGGGTCCATTATATATAAAACCTCCATCTAATGAACTATATAGAGATGAAAGTCCATTATATCAAGGGTCCATTATATATAAAACCTCCATCTAATGAACTATATAGAGATGAAAGTCCATTATATCAAGGGTCCATTATATATAAAACCTCCATCAAATGAACTATATAGAGATGAAAGTCCATTATATCAAGGGCCCATTATATATAAAACCTCCATCTAATGAACTATATAGAGATGAAAGTCCATTATATCAAGGGCCCATTATATATAAAACCTCCATCTAATGAACTATATAGAGATGAAAGTCCATTATATCAAGGGCCCATTATATATAAAACCTCCATCTAATGAACTATATAGAGATGAAAGTCCATTATATATAAAACCTCCATCTAATGAACTATATAGAGATGAAAGTCCATTATATCAAACCATTATATATAAAACCTCCATCTAATGAACTATATAGAGATGAAAGTCCATTATATCAAGGGCCCATTATATGGAGGTTTCACTGAATAACCAATCCCACATGGTACTAATCACCTTAACCCCTCCCCCCCCCCTCCATCGTCAACAGATTGCAGACCGGAATGAGAGGAGCCTTCGGTAAGCCTCAAGGTACCGTGGCCCGCGTTCAGATTGGCCAACCCATCATGTCAGTCCGTACCCACGACCGACACAAGGCCCACGTCATCGAGGCTCTCCGTCGTGCCAAGTTCAAGTACCCTGGACGTCAGAAGGTGAGGGAGGGATAGATGGATGGATGGATAGGTGGATAGATAATTGTAGTGTGTTTGTGTGTAGGAGGAAGGAGAGAAAATTAGTAATGGTATAATTATCATATTAACAGTACAGTAATGGTATAATTTGGTATAATTGTCACATTAACAGTACAGTAATGGTATAATTTGGTATAATTGTCACATTAACAGTACAGTAATGGTATAATTTGGTATAATTGTCACATTAACAGTACAGTAATGGTATAATTTGGTATAATTGTCACATTAACAATACAGTAATGGTATAATTTGATATAATTGTCACATTAACAGTACAGTAATGGTATTATTATCATATTAACAGTATAATTTGGTATAATCTTACAATAATCAATATCTCAAACACTTCGAATATCCCAACTAGAAAAATGTCATTCCGTCGTGATTTTTATTATTGTTTTGTTGTCGTCCGTGAGACTATACACCCCCCCCCCCCTACAGTCTATTGTTGACACCCGCGAGTATTTCCCCGCAACCAGTCGTTATAAAGATACATTTCCGTCGAGTTAGGTTAGACCACAATTCGACTTTGTATATTGGAGTTACGATGTATGGGTATAAAATGCGTATAGCTATTATATATATATTAAATAATCACTATAGGTGTGTTATATAGGACAAATTATTTATCTTATAAATATATATAACTAAGATTTTATAGTAAACTGATTAATAATGTCCACTCTGGTCTAGGAAGCTTTGACATTAAGCTTCTATAATAAACTAAATATTGACTGGTCTAGGAAGCTTTGACATTAAGCTTCTATAATAAACTGATTAATAATGTCCACTCTGGTCTAGAAAGCTTTATGACATTAAGAGTCTATAATAAACTAATTAATATGGACTGATAAAGGAAATTTTGACATTAAGCTTATAAAATAAAATAAAATTAATATTGACTGATGTTTACGAAGCTTTTATTTGCCTAAGATACGATTTTATCCTCGCTCATACCGTTCCCTCCTCCCTAACCCCCAAACAGATCTACGTCTCCCGTAAGTGGGGCTTCACCAAGTTCGACCGCGAGGTGTACGAAGAATTGATGGCTAGCGGCCGGCTCTTCCCTGACGGAGTGAGCGTACAGTACCGACCTGAGCACGGGTCGCTCAATACATGGAGGAAGGTCCAGCTCGAACTTGCCGGTTTAGCCTAAAGATAAAATAAACTGAACTTGAAGATAAAATTTTGTATTCTTGATCCTACCTCATTACCTGATACCGGCCGTGGTAATTAGAGCTGTATCCCTACTGTACCCACCACTGTATTACCTATTACAGCATAGATAACAATAAGTTAATGTTCTTAAGAGTATAAATAACTAGAAAGAATTATATTACTTTAAGTTATATCAAGAATTCATATATTCACTAGAAAGGAATTAATTGATAGCCATAAGGTTCTCTCAGGAGTAATTGACAAGATTCATTTATATACTGTGATGGCTATGAGTGACCTGCCATATTGTTCCATTATTACAAAGATATGGTCATTTTGGGACGGTCTTTAATACCCAATTTGAGGCTATTCTATAATTTATGACTGCTTAAACGCCTTCAATTGCACGAGTAATTACTTGACCTTATCTACTGTCATTATCTTGGCAATCTTAAGGTTAACACAAGACTTAATTAAATACTAGGAACATTAACCAAACGCTAGAACATTAAATTAACAAAAAATGGTCAAATATGAGTGATAAATACGTTTGAGAAGTTATATATCTGTTGAATACTGTATAATGTGGTGATGTCTGGTTAAACAAGTTGAAAAAATATAATTAAATCAGGAAAAATGAATCACAAACTCCATTTAACAACCATGGATATTAGGTGAAATTGTTATACAGGTTTGTAGTTAATTCAGCATGTATACAATATACATAGACGGTAAAGGTGATATGTAATTAATTTAATCTAATCTCTCTCTCTCTCTCTCGTTGCTCGCTCATAGAAGTAGTCGCTGGAAGACGGTTTATCATCTTTTAACTACGAAAATAAACCAAACCATTTAATATTCATCAATCTACTAAAACATAACCAATTATAGTGTTTTATGACTAATAAGACGCTAAATAATAATAAAAATAGCCTCTAAAACGCTAAAAATATTAATAAATGGTTAAAAGTAATTCGCTGGAAAAAGTTTGTTCCCTAACCGTTGTAAACAGAGTTCAGAATATGGTCAATGTTAGAATTATAACCACGAACAAATTTATTCATATACGATAAATAAAATATAATAAAGTAAATAAAGGTTAATATAGAATAACAATTTAATTTAGAATATATTAAATTATTTTTGTAGATAAAAATTATGTAGGTGTTACATCTATTAAATCGATAAATAATAAATAAATAAATTATAACAAAAGATAAATATTTTAGACAGTTCGTGGTAACCATATCAACATCAACCACACACACCATCACCTGGGAAGAACCTGTCGTCACCAATTACTTCCAAATTAAAGTCAAATTTCGAGACTTTTTAAGGATATAAATATGTCTCAGTGTTGTATAGCGATGAGGGAGAACTTAGGAGCCGTGTGTGATAACTGGGACGCTGGTGAGAGGAGAAATTTCATTGCTGCTGTTGTTTCTGGAGCTTTAGTAAGTTATGTTATTATTAATCTCTAAGTCATTATTTTGGTCTAATTTCATCTATTTTTGTTAATTAATATGTTGTAGTTAGTTGTAATTGCTCGTAATATGAATTTAACTGCATTTGACGTATATAAATTATTCCCTCGTTATTCATGTATTGAATTATTTATTAATCTCTAAGTCATTTTACGGTGATTTTTGTTGTTATTTGACTCTAATAATGTGTTTAGTTATTTATAATTGTTCTTAATATTAATGTGATTATATAATTGATGTATATAAATTATTACTTATTAAACTCATATTAAAGTATTTATTATTGTCTAAGTCATTTTACTGCTTTATTTTTACTATTTAAGTCTAATAATATTTTGTAGTTAGTTAAATAAATTGTTAATAAGGTTTTAATTATTTGTGACGTGTAGTAATTCACAGTCCAGTAAGTCAATTATTGTCTAGGTGTTATTAATAATCTCTAAGTCATTATTTGGGTTTATTTTTATTATTTGAGTCTATTGAGTTGGTGGTGTTTGTTTTAATTATTATTTATATGGTTTTAAGGTTTTTTTTTGTAATATTTCCTGTGTATAGGTTAGGTTAGCTTTTGGTTAGGTTAGCTTTGGGTTAGGTTAGCTTTGGGTGGGTTACATTAGGTTAGGTTCAATTTTATGGAATTTGTTTTTTTATTTACTATTCCATGTGTATTGGGTAAGTTAGGTTAGGGTGGGTTTAAATTGGGTTGGGTTAGGTCAGGTCACATTAGGTTGGGTTAGGTTAGGTCAGGTCACATTAGTTTAGGTTACGTTAGGTTTGGTTACATTACATTGGGTTAGGTTCAATGCCCACTAAACAATGGTTGTCCCGCAGTTCGCCCTGGGTTGGTGGCTTGTTATAGACGCAGCCGCTCGTTACCCCAGCACTGAAGAGTTCAACCACGCCTACCATACATGTGGAGTGATCGCTAGCCTGGCCATGCTAATGTAAGTGGTGAGAGAGAGAGAGAGAGGATGAGTAAGATTGATAGAGAGAGAGAAAGAGAAGAATGATTCTGTGTATATATACTGTATACATAAAATATACAACATATGTATAACTTGTATATTTATCCATGTAACTAACAGTAACACACAAACAACATCAATACCCCAGAGCAACTCACCCACAGAGACATGATCCTATTGTCTCCTCCGTAGGGTAAACACAGTCAGTAACGGACAAGTACGCGGGGACATGTACACAGACGGCTGCATCGGTCCTTATGGTGCTCGAGTGTGGCTCTTCCTCGGGCTAATGCTCAGCTTCGGGTCGCTCATCGCAGCCTGTTGGATCCTCTTCGGGGGCTACGTCATCGCAAGTGAGTCTTTGGTGTCGACGTGATGGGTTTTTTACTCTTGTTGATGTTACGGGTTTGTTTTAGGTTTAATTTATGTTATTTCAAGTTTGTTTTATTTTATGTTATTTAAAGTTTGTTTTAATTTGCTTATCACAAGAACATTGAAATCATGAAATAAATCTTTTTTTTTAATTAATCGCTGAGAATCAATAATTACTCTAGTGTTTGTTTGTCAGAATCATTAATTAGTGTTTGTTTGTCAGAATCAGTAATTAATCCCATGTTTGTCAGAATCAGTAATTAACCTCCGGGAATCATTAATTAATAAAGTTTTTGTCTTTTTTACAGAGTCCGCGGTACAGTGGCCAGGCGTTGCTATATTTCTCCAGAATATGTTTATCTTCTTCAGTTCAATCATCTATAAGATCGGCCGCTCAGAGGACAATTGGAGCTAGACGTTCACTTTCCCTATGAACGTTCAAGCTCCCTCTCGTCGTTCACACACCTCGACGAATGTTCACGCCCCAGATTAATGTTCACTCCTTCGACGAACGTTCAGAATTGTAAATTGCCTGATAATTCCCCTTGTGTCTTTTCCATATACTGTATTAGTGGGGATATTAGTCTGTATATAATTGTTTAAGCGTAGTAACTAATCCTTTAAACAGGCTATTGAACTGTTTTATGTGTTTATGAACGGTGAAGCCTTGAATGACGACGGTCCTCCAATATTGCAGTGTGAGGTGAATCATTAATTACTGTTAAAATAAGCAATAATGAGATGTGTTCCCTCGTGTGACCTTTTCATGTCTTTCGTGTGGCTTTTTACGCTCCTCTACCCCCCAAAAAACTATACAATTAATGAAAAATACAAATTATATTCTTTAAATGATGTTTGTGAATGAACTTTATACAATATAAATGAATAATAATATGGTCACACAAGAGGAGATGGGACGCTATTGTTGTTGTCAGTGTTAACAGCCATAGTGTCAGTTATCATCTAAAACTGAAGAAAATAAGACCCTGGTTGTTGCTGTAGTCAAATTAATATAAAAAAAATATGTATGTTTTACTTAATAATATGTTCATTGCTTGTTCCATATAATATCCACAGACCTCTCACCTTTTTTCATATCGTTTTAACACATCTAGTTTCTCGGTTAAGCTTATACACTTTCTATTACCTTTTGAAACAACACTACCATCACTTGCTCAGGTTGAATAGGGACCCAAAAAATGTCGTAAGAGGCCCGAGAAGGTTTTTCTCCTATTGCTGTTCTGATGCGTGAAAACAAAAGGTCCGCCAGCTGCGAGTGTTTATACCGGGGTCACCACTCACGAGCCAGGCAGTGTCCGTGCGCAAGGCATATTTTTTACGTGTGTAATTCATATTGGGATTTTGTTATTATTTATATGAAATTGTAATTTTACTTCATTTTTTATAATATTTCCGTCATAAATACGAAGGAAATAACGGTGTAAATTGAATTGGGTCGTAAATTAACCCAGGGTCTTAAATATGAACCATCGTTAGTAGAACCGTCGTTATCGGAGGCTTTACTGTACTGACAAAGGTACATTTTTAGGAGTAATATTGTAATAATTTATCCATGACTAAAACACCATATTGCACTGTACACTATACCTTCATTAATATGACCAAAAGGCGGCCTCTATGTCACCTTATTTATTGACAAATTTGTATTAACCGGGATTGGATTATTCGACGCTTGATTTTGTGTTTGTTTATTTGTTTGTTTTAAGGCCACGTCATTTTTTAGTCCTGTTTATTTGTTGGTTTTCTTGCCACGGCATATTTTTAGTCGCAATCCAGATTATAACGATCGTAATTAGCGAAGGTATAGTGTAGGTGCCGTAGACTAACAAAAACACAGGTTGTCGTTGTTTGTTATGTATCTTGGTGAACAAAAACAGTAGTTACAGTAGTTGTTTTTTGTTATTTTATGTTCATTTAGGATTTTAATTTAATTTCTTTAGCCCCTGAGCGACACGGGCACGAATGTAACCACGTCCTGGGTTCGTGTCCTGACCTGGGATAGATTTGAGAGGGGCATTATCCAGTGTGACCCTACCATCAGGTGACATTGTGTTACATAAGGTTTGGTTAGGTTCGGCTATACTAGATTAGGTGAGGTTACTTTAGGTTAGGTTAGGTTAGGTTAGGTTATACTAGATTAGGTGAGGTTACTTTAGGTTAGGTTAGGTTATACTAGATTAGGTGAGGTTACTTTAGGTTAGGTTAGGTTATACTAGATTAGGTGAGGTTACTTTAGGTTAGGTTAGGTTATACTAGATTAGGTGAGGTTACTTTAGGTTTGGTTAGGTTAGGTTACCATACCTCTCTCTTGTATTAACACACTGGATAATAAAGGTCGCAACAAACTAACAGGCCAACGACCCTTAATGGCAAGTAGGCTGATAAATAGTGAAATGGGAAATTAAATATCACAACGGAAACTTCAAAAATAGGGACCAATTTGGATTAAACCATTTCCCTTTTTTTTTCTGCAATTTTGGATTATTTCCCAATTACAGGTGAACTTACTACGATATTTATAAGTGTCGATAGTGACTTGTGTACAGCCCCTGGGGTTACTACAGTTCTAGATCCATAAGTACATTATAAGTGTATGTGAAAAGTATATGTAAAGTGTAACTACAGACTTATACTGTGAATAAATACTTATATTGTTACTTATAAACACTCCCTGGTGACAGATTACTTAGAAAATGATGTTAAAAGTCCTGTACAAGTTAACTGTTTGTTTGTTAGGGTGAAAATCCTATAAAATTTCCTCCTCGGTGGATTTGATTTGTTTATGAAGGAAATCAAGTCATTTTTCTAAACAAGTAGCTCGTCGTTTGGTCTCGTTTACCTGCGGAGTCACATCGTTAGGCCGTTCTCTCACCTGTGTTCACGTTTTGCTTTAATTATTATTTTATCGTCATCTCTGCCTTTTTTATTTATCTGTTCATTGGAGGTCTCTGTACTTTTAGCTGTAGTTCTTGAGTATAAATTATATCTGTATTTATTTAGTGTTTTATTCAACCCTAATATGATGTGTTTTATTTGTGGATGTTTGGATGTTTGATTTTCTTAGGTGTTTGTTCTGGTTAGGTTAGGTTAGGTTGGTGTTTGGTTGAAATATGGTTAGGTTATTGATATTATTATTTGTAGTAGTAGTAATAATAATAGTAGCAGTAGTAGTAATAATAGTAATAGTAGTAGTAGTAGTAGTAATAATAGTTGTAGTAGTATATTGATAAGATTAGGTTATGTTATGTTAATTAAATACTGTTATTATTATTGGTAATTATAATACATAAGGAAACTTGGTACTCACAAGGCAAAGAAAGTTCATCAGTGTGTGTGTGTGTGTGTGTCTGTCTCTCACACACACTTTATCGCTCTCTGACACACACACACACTTTATCCCTCTCTGACACACACACACACACTTTATCCCTCTCTGACAAACGCACACTCAAACACACCTCTCCTTCACACAGGCAGACAGTGAAGTCCCTCTGCTATTACAAGAGAAAACCAAACACTGGGTGCTTCTGGGCATCATCTGGGGCAAAGACTGTGACCGTGGGTACTTCTGGGCATCATCTGAGGCATAGACTGTGACCATCGCGGCAATCCAGGTGTGTGTGTGTGTGTGTGTACGTTTGGCTTAACCTGTAAGTTAACGAGTTTTTTAAATACCTGTTGTGTCGTATCTGCTGCTTACTGGTGGACGGGCAGCAGGGAGCCAGTTAGTGTTGTGATTCTCTACACAGCAGGGTACTAGGGAGAGAGAGAGAGAGAAATGGACAGAGAGAGAGAGAGAGAAATGGACAGAGAGAGAGATAGATACAATCATTCATAATCAAATTGATGTATGAACCTAATCCAGATCCAACCTAACCTAATCTAACCCAAATCCAACCTACTCTAACCTCCCCAAGAGTATGACGTCAAAAGTATTACCGAATAATGTCGTTCCGTCAAAGTAAACATCGTCAGTTACTATTTTTGCACTCTCGACAGTTTACCTGCAGTGGGCGGCAGAAGACAAAAATAAGGTCGATTGTGGTAACTTGGCCGGCCTTCCTCGACCCGCCCTGACCTCACCCTCGTCCGAATCAGCGTCTTGTGGTGAGATACAATCTTGCGGTTTGGTTAGGTTAAGTTAGCTTCAATTAGCATTACAGTAAAACCTTCATCTAATGAACTATATAGAGATGAAAGTCCCTTATATCAAGGTTATACTGTAGATTATATTAATTAGATTTACCCTAACCTAACTCAACCCTAATCTAACCCTAAACAATTTCCAGACTATGGGGCGAGCAGCACATCATAGGGTAACTCCGGGTAGTTACAGAGAAACAAGATAAATGGCATTTCCTCGTGACCGGTAAGTTTGTTTTGGTTTTTCGTTTCGGGTATTTTCGAGTGTCGGGATTTTGTGATTGTTTTGAAATGTAACCTCAACTCAATTTAACCGAACCGAACTCAGCCAAACTTCCCCTAAATTACCGAACCGAACTCAACCAAACTGAACCGCTCGCCACCTAACCACAAGCTACAGAGACTATCGGTACTGGAAGACGTCCACACAACCAATCAAATCCATAACGATCAATTAATATGTTCCAGACTAACGACCGCGGTTCCCTCAACACATTTGCATCTCCCAAACATTACGCTGTTTGTCACCACTGGGAATCGCGAATGCCGAACCTACATACCTTAGAGAACGGCTTGAGATAAGACTGGTCTAGTACTGGGCAGACCAAGATGTCTTTTTTTATTATTCCAGGATCATTGTCGAAGTTTTATGGGTAATATATGTGAATCAGTTTGGTTTTGGAAGTCTTAAATAGCAATTGTAGTCCAGGTTATATCAGTTAGAATTATGTTCAATATTCTCACAAAATTGTACTAATTCTCTGGAGGTCTTGTATGTCTCTGGGGACTTAGTTTATAATTTAATTCATGCATCCTAGTCTGTCTTCCCCTGGCCCACCTCACTTGACCCACCTCCCCTGACCCACCTCACCTGACCCACCTCACCTGACCCACCTCCCCCTCACCCCTAACTATATAACAAAACATCCCATTTTATTAATTTTCTCAACATTTCAAGAATATCTCATATTAAAAGACTCGGTAAGACCTCTCAATAAAGTAAACTACATAATTGGGTTGTTAGTGTGAAAAACGACTACCATAGAGGGAAATTAAACCGCAAGGACATCAAAACACATCACGTGCGCTGATAAATGTATTTAATTATTGGGTATTTATCGTCTGAATACATCAAACGTTACAGAAACAATCACATTGAAATAAAATTTATACATATACTTTGAAAAAATATGTTTATAACAATGTATTAATGTATTTGATGTTATTTATACAATTTTGACCTGTATGGCAAGATCTGTATGGCAGGATCTGTATGGCAGGTGATGGCAGACAGATGTAGACTAACATCTGTGGCGATGCATAATGTTCATGGAATGTTTATGACGTCAACGAAACCTCTTTGTAATGGACTATTTAGAGATGAAAGTCCATTATATCGAGGGTCTGTATGATGTAAAACCTCTATGTAGTGAACTATATAGAGATGAAAGTCCATTATATCAAGGGTCTGTTAGATGTTAAACCTCTATTTAATGAACTATATCGAGATGAAAGTCCATTATATCAAGGATCCGACTTGAACAAAATACTAACATATCATAACATAAATAACGTCCCGTAAAACAAAATATTCGCTCATGTCACATTAAAAATTAAAACACCTCGGACATTAACAAAATAACGTAGAATTTATCACACCAGAAAAATATAAAAGCTAAAAATCCACGATAATCTATAATAATCTTTGGTATCTCACACTGGGGTGGGGGGTGATGGGGGGGGGCTAACGAAGACTTTGAAATCGAACTAAAATAATAATAACTGTACTCCATTTTTTTTTCTCCGGGTAATATAGGATTAATCGTTACTTTAGGGTCATGGGAATATTTGCGTTTTAATTGTGTTTTTCTCTCCGTTTGTTTATAACGTGTTTTGATTTTGATAGGAGGCCCTCGGCTGTGTTTTAATATCGTTTTATCTGTAACAAAAACACAAACAAATACAGTTTTTTATCCTTGTTTTTCATATTACTTTATCATACAAACATACGGACAATATCACTGTATCTTTAAAAAAAATTTCTTTGTTATATAAAACAATTAAAAACCACATAACTTTATCATTAACAAAAACACCAAAAGAAACTTGATTTATTTGTTTATTTTAATATAACTTTATAGTAAACAGAAGAACGATAAGACTAGAGAGGAAATAAATATATTCTTAAACTTTAGGTGATTTTTGATGTGTGTGTGTGTGTGTGTGTGTAGATAAAGGTGTATGTATGTATGTATGTGTTCACTTCAGTTACCCATCACAAGACAAAAACAATCACTGTATTTACAATAAATGTGTGTTAAACCTCTGACACACCCTGTACATATGTTGCAGGACTATTGACACACCCTGTATAGTTAAGTCAATACTACACAGGCCATTGGTTGGTACAGTAACTACAGGTAACTTCTCTCTTTACAAACGTTCGGGGACACAAATGATCCGATCGAGTGTAATCTGTTGCTGCGTACAAATGACTGATCGAGTGTAATCTGTTGCTGCGTACAAATGACTGATCGAGTGTAATCTGTTGCTGCGTACAAATGACTGATCGAGTGTAATCCGATGCTGAAACTAGACACAAATTTGATGGAACGTTGAGAGAAGTTATGTCCACATACATGAAGCGTTTGGGCGGTCTAGGGGGGTCGACGGCATAAACTACGCGTCTGAGCTAGGACAGAACAGAAGTACATCTCCTCCGTCTTTGTGTTTCTTGATGTGGAACATAAGTTTGTCCTTGCGTATAAACGTTCTGAAACAGTAATCGCACCGGTGAGGTTTTTCTCCCGTGTGGGATTTGGTGTGACGTAACATGTCCGCCTTACGGATGAACGCGTTGTCGCAGTGTTGGCACTTAAAGGGTCGTTCCCCGGTGTGCGTGCGGACGTGCGTCTCCAGGCTGCTCTGGGAGACGAACCACTTGCCGCACACCATGCACCGCGCCCGCTGTACTCTGGCCTTCTCCAGGTCGGTGTCGTCGGCCGTCTCGTGGTTGAGGAGGTGGGCCTCGTAGTTCTTCTTGACCTTAAACTGTTTCTGACAGATGCCACAGTCGTAAAACGTCCTCTGGCTGTGTGTCCCCATGTGGGTGTGAAGGTTGTACGCCTTCTTGAAGACGTGGCCGCACACCTCACAGGGGAACACCTTCTCCTCCTCCTCCTCCTCTATCTTTACGTCCCGGAGGAGATCTTCGACGGCCTCCTCCTTGACGTCGTCCTTGACGTGGTACGAGCGTCTCCTGTGCCTGAGGTGTACGCCGACGTGCTTGAGCATGTGGTCTCTGCGGGCAAAGGCCTTCCCGCAGGACTCACACTGGTGGGGCTTCTCCCCCGTGTGGCTCCTCAGGTGGATCATCAGTTTGTTCCTCTTCTTGAAGGTCTTGCTGCAGTACTGGCACGTGTGGCCGCCGCTGCCTCGGGGGATTCCTTTACTTCTGGAGGGTTTATCACCGTGGACGACGACGCCCTCCGTCTCCACGGCGACCGCGCTGCCTTCCTCTACGGTGATGGTCGTCGCGGCGACGCCCTCTGTCTCGGCGGCGTCCGCGGTCGTCGGTCCGGGAGCGGGTTCGGGGGTCTCCCGTCGGGGGCCGCCGTCGTCTGCGGAGCGGTGTTTGTCGGCCTGGTGTTGACGTAATCTCTCCGGGCGAGAGTACCGGGCGCCGCAGAAGCAGACGTTGGGTTTGGCTCCCGTGTGAACCGTCTGGTGACGGTGATACTTGTAGCTCTTGCTGAACTTCTTCCCGCAGTACGAACATTCGTACGCTGCCGTGGCGTCCGGCAGACCTCTCTTCGCCAGGTCCTGCTTCCTGGCGACCTGTAGCAGCGACTTCCTCTGGTCCGACCCGATGTTGTGAGTCATGGCGTGCATCTTGAGGTAGTCGACGCGCATGAACCTCTTGCTGCAGAAACACACGTAAGGTTTTTCTCCCGTGTGTAGACGTTTGTGGACGGTCAACTTATCCGAGCGAGAGAAGCGTTTGTGGCACACGTCGCACGCGTACGGTTTCTCGCCCGTGTGTGTGCGGAGGTGGACCCTTATCTTGTTGCGGGCCATCGTCTTACGGCAGTACGGACATTGATTATCGGCCAGTGACAAACTGCAACTGTCTGAAAATAACCCCAAGTTAGATAATAATAATAATAACAAGAATAAAACTGTAATAATAATAGGAGCAACAACTGGTACTGATATTATTACTATAGTGCGTTTTTTCCCAGCTGAGGAGAGATGCCCCGCCCCCTCCTCAAGAGTTACACCTGATTGGCTGTTACAAATCTGTTTGATTTTGTCCTGAAGTAATGATATATTTCTAAATGAGTTTATTCATAATGACCGTTTTGGACGAGAAAGATATTGAGCTAAATTATATAAAGATACATACATTAATTATTTCAAACATGAGCACATAGGAAGTTTATCAGAAGTATTATACAAGAATTAACTGTTAAACTCTTTTGGAGGACAGATTTAATATATACTTGTTGCATAATGTAGTTTTACCGATACATAATAATAATGATATTTATTCAGTAAAATCATCATTCATGTTTATAATTGTTTTACTGGTGTATAGCTGAGAATGTTGAGACTAGGGTAAGTTAGGCCAGGTTAACTTAAGTTACACTACCCTAAACAATCCAACATAAACCTTTCTTGTTGTTAATATTGACGTCGTCGGGAATATCCAGCGGATCGACCAACTTGGAGTTCTCGGGAGGCTCGCTCTCCAGTCCGTCATCTTCTAACATGTAAACACTGAGGAACCGCGAGACGTCGAGAAAATCTGTCTTGGTTGTCTCGACACCTTCCTCCATGCTGGTGACGATCTCTGGGGTCTTAGAGAGCAAAGAGACGAAGTTTAAGTTTGGGGTCACATGAAGAATATTCACCCGAGCTTATTATAATTGGTGATTAATTATCCTAACTTAACCTCACACTAACCTGTCTTAATCCTAACCTAACCTAATCTAACCTATGCTAACTTTAACCTATTGCTAACCTAACTTAATCTAACTAAATGATATAATCTCTTAACTCCTCCTTCTAAATTAATTAAGCAGTTTCTCAATCGCTGATACACGATTAAATACATCAATAATTAATTACCAAAATACTAATTACTTATATTAGTATGAACAGAAGACTCAATTATACTTCCTGCCATTGTAATTAACACTATTCATCCCCAATTAATTACAAAATCTCCAAAAGGATGATTAAATAACCCCAAATTAACTCTAAAATAACAATACAAATTAATTATAACACATACATATGACAGGACCGCTTGAGAAAAAATACCAACCATTAATACACCTTTTCTTCCTTAATTAATCACCAAATCACCTTAATTCCATACCTTAATTAATCACTAATGACTCCTCCGTACGTCAATTAGGTCAGAAAGACACTAGGAAGGTTATTAATGATCTTATAAGGAAAAGTTGTAGAATAAGTTGTGGTTTGTTGAGTCAGCCATCAGATGTAAACAAATAATTCAGACAAAAGAGCATCACAGGCAGGGACCCTTAGTGTAATTGTTGTTGTGGTTGTTGTTAGTAGTGGTGGTAGTATTGTTATTATTAGTAGTATTATTATTATTACTATTATTGTTCATATTATTAGTAGTAGTTTTATTATTATTATTATTGTTCATATTATTAGTAGTAGTATTTTTGTGACGACCTGAACTGAGTCCACACCCACACCCCCTCCTATCTCCAAAGGATGAGCGCCGTTCAGTACACGCGTCATATGGGTCAGATTTGCCAGCACCGACCGACTCCCCATCTCCTCCCCTCCCTTTTTCTCCCAAGAGACGACGGTTCTGTCAGTGCCGGATTTAGACCTGTGGAGGCCCATGGGCAGCCTCTTTGTGGAGCCCCCCTCATTATAACTACCCAAGAGGGTGGGGTGACGAGTGAAGCGAGCCTAAACGTCTGGGAGTTCCGGAATTCTACTTTTGCGTTTACTTTTATCCTCTTCGCCATTGATCGGCTTGTAAGCCGCCCGGGCGATCGGTCACGTCTCTTGTCCCACACTGTTGGCAAATACTGGGCATGCACCGGCTCCTGAATGTACCTGAACCTGCTCCAGTGTTGGTCAAGTCTTCTCTTGAAAGACCTCACACTCTCTGGTAGATTGTTCCAAGAGTTTACAACCCTCACTCCGAAAAAGTTTGCCCTCACAGTTTTCTGGACTTGCGGCTTCTTCAATCTTG